TCTCGGAGAAAAGGTGGCGGAACTCAAACCTGGCCACGCCCTCATCAAACCCTAGGACCGCCCCTTTAGAGAACAGGAATGCAAGTAAAATTTGGGAGGGGCTATTTCCGGTGTGGGAGGGGCTATTTCCGGTGCGGCCGGCCCGGAAAAAGGTGCCGGAACGCGGTTCCGCCGCGTTCTGGCTGAAAAAAAGCCCTGAATCTACCCTAGAAAGACTGACTGGCATTCCAATCAGCATTATCAAAAAAGTTTTTTTAAATGACAGGTATCCTGAAATCATCTCTTAATTGCTAAGTTTTGTGCTTTCACCATAAAGCTATGTCATACCCAGATTTTTTTTCTCTCCCAAGTAATTGTTTTATTGCATCATTAAGATATGAACAATACATTATAAAATAAAGTTCAGAGGTATTTATGCAATACAAATGAGAAATTGTTAATACTACAATGTTTAGATAAATAAATTTATTAGATAAATTAAACCTTAAATATAAGAAGAAAAAAGTTTATAGCAATCTTAAATATAATTTTTAAATGTTAAAACAAAAAAAGGAGCTGCTTGGAAAAATAGGTAAGTATTTCATTTCTAACATCCCTCTTTTTTATACTTTGACTGATTTGAAGTATTTATAAACATGTAGACCTCCTTAGAACCCACACAGTGCTTGTATTTGCCTTGTGGCATGATATATTGTGTACTGAAAATGGAAAGCATTCTTGCTTGAATTTGGTTAAAGTTCTGTTGTGGATATTTGTCACTGCTGTGTGTGCTCCAAGTTTAAATTCCTAATCAGATATCATTAGTGTTGTATTTTTCTTTCAATGTTGGACAAGTTAATTCTTACATCCATAAGCAAGTATCTCAGTAAATTATATTTTTGTCAATATATTCTGAAATTATACCTATTAAAAATTGTGATTTCATTTCAAATGTAATTTCTAAAATTCTATGGATGGTACTACATACTTCTGAGAGGTTGTTTTTTTTTACATCTACCACATTTGTTAAAATATGTCTTCTGTTTCATGGTATTTCCACAGATTTGTTAATTGAAGCACACTATACTGTGCTTCAATTAACACATACTGTGAATTGTACTTGGATTGTTTGAACTCACATTTATTCTGGACTATAATACCACTATTACTATATATACTTATTAAAAACACACATTAAAATATTTCAATGCAGTTTACAATCAAGTATATGTCATGCAAATCGAGTTCTAAGATGAATTCTAAGTCAGAATCTGGTTTCAATTTCTTTTTTCTTTTTGTCTGGACAAAATACATTTGATCTGAAGTCAACATTCTTGTATCAAAATATTTATCATATTCTGATCCAAAACGAATTGTAATTCTCTTTCCATGAATCATACATAACTTTGACTACATTCCAATGACATCTAAATCACCTCCTATGCAATTGTTCTTGGTTAACTTTCTGCAGATTCTTTGAGGTTATACTTACTTCTTAGACTTTTACCCATCTTGTAGCTGAGCCAAGGAAAGCAACCATTTGCTGCATAATAAATGATGGCGTCCAGTTTCCCAGGCACAATAGTTCAGAGAGCAAAAAATCCAAAGACAGGTATGAAGGAGGCAAGTACATGAAAGAAGGCTTCAGGACATAGTGGCCTTTTTGTCTTGGAGGTTTGGATAGAGAAGAAGGGAAATTCTAATCATACTAAAGAAATGTCTATCGGTACTTTTTCAATAATTAAAAAGAGCTTGAAAAGATTTTTCTCATTTTCTCCCTGTCTACTAAGTCTCTCCTTTTCCTAATGCCTCACTGTAATTCTGGCTATAAGGTCAGTCACAAGACATTACCCTATAGTGTTAATTTTTCTACTAATTACATTTTAATGAGCATTTTTATATGTGCTGCCATGGAAAAATTGCAATCTTAGTTGATGCCATGGGATGTGGACGCAGATAGAAATCTCAGAACAACATGTGCAGGAGTAACAAAGGAAATAAATGGTTTTTAATGGATCTATGTCTACATAATTAGACAGTGACTACCTCTGGGTTTTGTCTTGGACCCAGAGCTCCACAAAGTTTTTATAGTTGACTTAGATGAGAAGATAAAGACAGATTCATCAAGTCTTCAGACAACACAATTCTGGGAGGGATTGCTAATACCTCAGAAGACAGGCTCAATGTTCAAAGGGATCTTGGACATTAGGCCCTTCCCTACAAAATACTGTTCAGTGATGAAAAGTATCAGATTTTGCATTTTGGGCAATACAAGATAGGTGGTACCTAGTTCAACAGTAGTATTTCTGGGCAGGAACTTTGTAGGCCATAAATTAAGTATGAATCAACACAGAGATGTCTTAGTCTGCATGAAAAGTATAATTTTGAAATCAAGGGAAATGATATTTCCACTATATGCAGTGACCGTTATACCACACTTGGAATACTTGTCCAAACACCTGTCCAGTTTTGGTCACCACAATACAAAAAGGATGCTGAGGTGCAAAGAACAACCAAGACAATAAACTGTTTAGAGAAAAAAAATCTTACAAAAAACAGTTAAAGAATTGGGCATGTTTAGCCTAAAGAAGAGAAAGCCAAAGGGAGACAAAATAGATGTCTTCTAATACTTTAATGACTTTGGATTTATTCTCCACAAGCCTGCAGATAGGACAAAGCCAAATTGGTGGGAACTTTACAGAGAGAAATCCAAACTCAAAATAAGGAAGAATTTCCTGACCACGAGAGCCATCAAACAATGGAACAACTTTCCTCCTGAAGTTGTATTAATCCATCACTGGATGTTTTCAAGCAAAGGTGTGATTGTTATTGATCCGAGGATTCCTACTGTGGGCAAAGAACTGGAAAAGAAAGTCTGAAAAGTACCTACCAACTCTATATGTTCTGTGATTGTCCCAGATTTTTTAAATGAGCACTATCAAGAAGGATGATTTGGTAAGATATCTCTTCCTATTTGCTCTTGCAAGTTGAAATAACAAAATTTCCAATTATATTATTATTTTCCTCTTTTGTCATAGCAGGCACCCAATACATACTAGACAGTTAATTGTCACTAATATCATGTAACTTTCCTTTTCTTATGCCTGAACTAAGCAACTCTGGGAGTGGACGGAAAGAGAGGTTGAGGAGCTATAAAGCTTGCCTAACAAAAGCAACCCCTTTGTGAGTCATGCCCATCTACATTGTCACAGTCCAGATTTACCACACTGCTCTGAGAATCTCAGATGCTACAGTTATGGAGACCATTTGAATAAATGTTTCTTAATTGTAAGCATCCTGGCATATTTACCTAGTGTCTATCTTTTTTAGTATCTGACCTATAAGTGCAAAACAGTAATTACTGTTCTATGGCAATGTGGAGTATCTCAAGCCAATTTTAAAAGGAAAAACACGCCAAAATAATGTATCTCTTGTTCTTATTTTTTATAAAATTTGTTTGACATTTTTGATCTATACCATCATTAAACTGATTGACCATAAAATATTTGCATTTTTTTCCAGTTAGTCATGTGATATCTATATGGCAAAACTTTAAGGTTGAACAAATGACAGGATTCAGAAAGTGACATCTGGGAAATTTTATACCACAAACACTTCAACTCCATATCTGCTCTTTCACAAAGCACTAACCCACTTGCTGTCAGCACAAATCCTGGCCTTTCATCTTTACACATATGTAAATTAAATAATTTATCTCACAATGCACATTTTGATTACCCCCTTGCCTCCTACCCAAAGAACGTAGGAATTTAAGGAAAAATGCTAATGATGGTAAACTAATAGCTTCAGATAAACTGTAACTAAAACAGAAATACCTTGACTCAATTCCAAAACGATGATAGCATGATAGCAGTTTGAGGAATGACCCAAGACTAATGCAAAAACTAGTAGAAATGACCTCTGAAAGGGATCACTTACCAGTTAGAAAATCTGGATCAGGAGTAGGTTCAGATAGCTCCTCTTGGCACTGATTCTCTAGTGGAACAGTGGCCAACATTAGTCCATCTGGCAGCTGTTGCTCCAAGCCACGAGCGAAGTTATTCATCCTGAAAAGTGCCAAATGAGACGTTCAAAGCAAAATCCTAGCAAATCTATGTATAGCTGTTTCCTAAACTAAATTCCTTGTACAACTTATACAATACCATAAACACCTTCAAAGGCTTTCAAGGTTCTGAACTTTTTCTTCAAAATGTATTTGTGAAAAGCAGACTTTTCGGTGCAATTTGAAACCAGATGAAATTATGACAACAGATTGAGTATTTCATCCATCTCTAGATGTTGAAATATGCAGGCTCACAGATCTCATTAAAATCTATAATCAATGTATCAAAGTAAGTGGAAATAAAGAGTATCATGAAAATATTTTATTACAATTGTTCCTTTTATTTTTTTTTCCTTTTTTGAAAGTGTGTTCTTCAAAATTGTTAAAAATTATTTTAAAATCCTACATTTTAGGTCTACATACAGTGTCATCAATATCAAAGTATTCCTCATGGCCATTAACTGTAATGCTGCCAGTGGAGCCTTTCTTTGGGCTCCATTTTTGTCCTCCAGCTCTTACAAATTGAAGGATTGAAGAACTGTGTGAATGCAGAACCAGCATGTGCAGAGCTTTTCTTCAAAAAAAGAAAGAAAGAAAAGAGTAAGGCGTGTTGAAATTTCTTTTGCTCCATTAGGAAACTTCACACACAGAGAGAAAAAAGGGCCCTTCACATGTCTTAATTTTTGACTTAATAGGTAAATGAGGATGTGCCAATCACCTGTAAGAAACATCATTAAATCAGAACTCTTGTTTCTCCAGAACTTCGTCATCTATCTATTAAATTTATTATGATAAATTTGTGATAAAAAGACAACCAGTGTTTTTCAATAGAAAAATCAAAAGGTAATGGAATTGCATGGGTAAATATAAAAAAGACTTCAAGGAGTATTTCTTCTAATCCAATTAAACTCCTTTATTACACACCTGTCCAAGACATAATCTTTTAAAACATGCAATTGTTTCATGGATAATATGTTCTCTTGGTGGACAGCATAATTGCAGAGGGCTCTGCATGAATACTAATATCTTCAGGAATTGGGTGAGTAGTGCTAGAGAAAGGTCCTTCAACAGAAGTCATCTGTCCCTGAAAGAAATTCACTTGGGGTCAAATCCCAAGTCTTACTACAGGCAAATGAGGAAACCTGGGAAAATTTAATTTGCAAGTTGCTTTGAGCAGAGCTTTGTTTTGCTTAGGGTATGATGTAAAAGCACGATGGATAACCCAGTACAGATAATACAAATAACAGGAATCCCACAGAACAGCAAGCTTTTTTTCCTAATATAATCATCACCTGAATGTCCCCTTCAGCACTTGCCCAGGTGCCAACTCATGAGTTTGATTGTTGTAACCATAGAACATTTCCCCAAAGAGAGTTTGATTCATGGGCAGCTCTCGGCTTTCTTCGCAGTCAGCACCCCCTGGACAGGACTCTGAAATTAACTGACAAGATCGGCCGTCCATACCTAGCTTGTAATCTTCAATGCATCTGCCAATGAATACAAGAAAAACTATTTAAATGTTTTACAAGATTTCTAAAGAGAAGTATCTTTTGTGTTCAAGGAAGAGCGTATAGCAAATATAGTCACATGGGTGAAAAACACAGTTCCTCTCTTACAAATCTGTAAAATTGTGTGAGATTAATGGTTTAGGTCTAATTCCGTGGTGTTTCATATTTCTGACCTTCAGCAAAACTTTTCCATGCATGGCTTTTGTGCCAAGTAATGTCTAATGCTGGAGTATTTCATAAAATGCCCTACCAATTTGCATGGGGACAAAAAGAACCATACTGACATTGGTATGTGGAATTCAAATGAAGAAATTCTCTCAGTTAATTGAAAAATGGTCAGAACAAAATAGGTGAATAACAAAACCACTGAAAAATAGTTGAGTGAGATGAGCAAAATCTGTTAATCCTTAATTGTAGAAATGTCTACTGAAGAAATGATTAAATCTAGAATGAGAACTGCAACTCAGCAACAATTGGAGGCGACAGGTTTCCTATTTTCTTTTATGACCATGCAATATCTCAACCTCTGGTTGCTAAAGACAATTCTTTAATCTGTTATCTAGAATCCTGTCACTAAAATTGTCATGGTAAATAAAAGTTTCTTTCACTTCAACAAAATATACTATCATAGGATTCAACAAAAGATGTTAAATATTAGTGGTATGCAGTACTTTAGTTTTCATTCCAAAAAGATATTTCAGAACATGTAAAGCTATGATTACAGCACCTGTGTGCAACTCTTTAAAATAGCCGTATCTTAGGATCATACAGCAGCTGCAGAGATAGCTGTGTGAACTTGAGAACCAACAAAATTATTGTACATGGTTACAGATGGGTGCTACATTCATACTCTCATGGGCTTCAAAGCACCCTTCAGGAATTGAATCTAAATGCTGTGAATTGTTAGTTTTCCAGGAAAAAAGGATGAAAGGGTTCATACACAAGTATTACAAACACATGTACCATGCTATAAGTAATTATTGCTGCACTCAAGGGAGTGTATATGAAATGTATAAAACAGTTTAAAGACAACCATTGTCATATATTCATTGGCATGGACTACATTTGGCAGGTTTCTTCAGGAAGGAACATTTATTTAGATACCACATTACATAACAGAAAGCAATAGTTAGACATCATTTAAATAGTAACAGGCATCCATAGGGAATGGTAAAAAAGTCAAGATGAAAGTCACAACAGTGTAATTAAAGCTATACCTGCAACCCACAATTTTAATTGCACTATCACAGCTGCCACCTTAACTTTTTTCTACCAACAACCTTGAATATTAAAATTATTATTATATGGAATAGTCAGGAATTCATTATTTTGAAATGAGTTTGAGTATCCTATCTGCCTGTCTGTATATGGTTTGGAGTAAGGTCCCACCCTAGAGGATACTAGAAGCTTTTGTGGAACTCACCCACAAAACATAAGTATATTGTACAAGGAAGGGTCTTCTGGTAATGGCATCATATGCTGTAGACAGAGTTGCTCGCAACCACCATTGAACCCATCTGAACAGTCCACTCCTATGTGGCGATCATAGCAGCCTGTGCCGTCTTTCATGGGGCTGAGGCCGGGGGGACACTAGCAGAGGAAGAAAAATAGCATCACGAACCAGGTGAGCATAGATTTTATGCAGAGCGATTGTTTTGCACTGCACAGTCACAAGAGGGTTCATTACGCCCAACAGAAACATCACACATTATAACTGTACAATATTGCTTGTTCCACATACTCCGTTTATACAGTGAGGAGAAAAACTGAATTAGTGGTATTGTTTCATCTTATCATTAGCACTGAGATTTGTGGTAGCTTCTTGCAAGTTTTCTAGTCAATTTCTGCTAAATAATTCTACAGTATCATTCACACTTTGATCTTACAATCTGTGTTGTAGTTCCTTCCTGTTGCAAAATTTCTTCATTTTCATCTTTACAGTTTCTGCAACCATTGTTTTTTCACATATGAGACAACTGAGTATCTTGTGCATGTTCTCTCCCCCCCGTCTTATTACTGTATTTTTCACCTTAATCTTTTCTCTATTTGGGGGGGGGATATTGTTCCTGTCTTTAATTTTAAATCTGGATGCTGCCTTTTCTTTGGCCTAGAGACTTGTTTTTCTGTTTCACTTTCAGCGAGCAAGGGCAGAAAGGAGAAAGGACTTCTACATTTAATGGGTCAGGACTGTGCTCTGCTCTCCCATAGTCTAATCTCTTTCTCATACTATATGGGTGCTAAAAATGTTCAGGTTATATTGAGGTTTTCTTGTACCTAATTTCTATATGTTAAAAGGCTTTGGGCAGCATCTTCCAGTACAAAAGTGTATATAACCTCAAATACATATCAACACCAACTAGGGTGACTAACAGTCAGAGCCAGCACTGTATTCCCTCCAGTCATGTTCAAGAGGAACTATGAACTAGGTGCTGCCTCAGGCTATCTTAGAAAACAGCCACACTCTGGTTTGAAATAAATGAAATAAATGAGATCCAGAGGCTCCCATTAACTAGGAACTACTTTTTCAACTTGTTTTAGTTTTGAAATTGCTGAACCCATAAACAAGTCCAACTGAAGTGAATTAAAGAGCTATAAAGCTGACTGATAATACCATCAATAAGGTTTTGCTTTCAAGTGGGACATTTTGTAGGATAAAGTAGGAAGAGCTGCAGGCTTTTTTCCCCCTCCCCTTTCTTTTGCTTTGGCACATGTGGATTAAACAGAGGATTTCCATCTGAAATGTTTTTCCCCTCGTGGTCCTGGCGATGAAGCTCACACAACAAGACACAGGTTGCTCGATGACATTAATTCTGCAATTTCCAGAACAAACGGTCCCCTGTAGGCTCACTAGACTCTCATTCTGCCCCATGTTGCTCCTCCTCCATCCGTGCCAGCTGGAATGGCTACGCATAGGAGAATTCTAAATGTTTGCATAATGCCAGCAGTCAATGAGAAGACCCAGATGTTTGGGGTGATGGCAAACAAGCAAATGAGGAGTCTAGGAATCCTGCCCTGCACCCATCCTCATCAGAGTGACTTCCCATCTGGCTGACAGGATGTGCTTCAAAGTTAGGGGTGGACAATAGAGACCTGAGTATATGTGTGTTTTCTACTGATGAATTGATTTCTTTGCAACTCATGCCTTACACAAGGGCTTAGAAAATTACAGAAACGAAAATAAACTTTTTATGGGAATGCTTTTGCACGACTCTCTATTAAGTGATATAGGCCTTTGGCAGGAGAATTTGCAAGTGAATCGCAAACTCAGCTTGTACAGGTAAAAATATAAAATCCACACCTTAATGTGATGTTGTCTCAGCTTCCCCCTGTGTGCCAGACACAAATTCATGTGTTAACTATACTATAGTTGCAACAATATTACAGGGGTGAACTTGCTGGGAGAGATTGGTGGCTTTGTTTTGTCTGGTAGTTTATTCCTTACAGCAATGTTTCTTAAAAGTGGCAGCTTTAAAATGTGTGAACTTCTATTCATGCTGGCTGGGGATTTCTGGGAGTTGAAGTTCATACATCTTAAAGTTGCCAAGGTTGAGAAACATATACCACCACAATTTATTCCACACTAAAATTCAGAAAGACCATCTCCTGGGCCCCTTTTAGGAAAATTCCATCAGCATTTGACAAGCTCTCCTTGTACTGTTGTTAGACTATGTTTGTTTGGCTTGCCTTCGCAATTTGTTTCACATAAACCCAAATGGACTTTTACAGTTCAGTGCTTATGGAATTACTTTCTTACAGAATAGATAGTTGGATTCTCCTTCCCTTTCAGCTCCCTTTGGTTACCTTTTCAATTTGAGAGCCAGTCTAATCTAGTGTTTATGATGTAGAATTAGGACTCAAGTGATGCAAATTCAGGCCAGTCCTTAGACTTGGAAGCAGACTGGGGGGGCTTGGGGGCAGTCAAGGTTATTTTTATGGGGCAAAAAGAAATGAGTACTGTGTGTGTATGCATGTTTGCTTATAAATATATTTGCATTTGTACAAGTATGTTTGTATATACACTTCTTTAAACAAACAAACTGCCTTGAGCATAGTCTAACCAATTAAAATTGAATTAATAGCCTTCCATGTTGATTTAGTTTTTAACTCAGGTCAAACAATATTGTAAGTCATCAGCAGAAAATTCCAAGAAGGGCAATTTTCTGCATCCTTTCCAAGTCCCACCATACTACAATATCCCAGCCTCTTTCTGTTTTGGGATTTGTAGCCCAATGCATCTGAAGGAAAGCAGGTTGGGGAAAGCTGCAATATTTCATCTCCAATAAAATGCTATCCTAGGCCAGGGTTAGGCAACCTTGGCTACAAGTCATAGGTTAAGATTCGTTGACATTCTAGGTATAGAAGTTAAGACACTCCCATTTTTCTAGGCAATGTAAAAACTTTATTCTTTATTCTACTTATCTCTAATCATCTGCCTATCAAATTAAATTGTCATACCAAATACCTAGAAGAACTAACAGTAGCTTTTTTAATTTTAAAAGTTTTAATAACTTGTTCTAATGTCTTGGGTATCTCAGAAATTGAAAATGCTACTGGTCCAAATAATTTTAACAGATATTGTAGCTGTAAATATTTCCACTGAATTATGTCTGATAGATAGTATTTGTCTCTTAGCAGAACATAGGTTAAAAATTCATCTTCACCATCTATCAATTGATCCAAAGTCAATATCCCCATTTTATCCAAATTTTCCTTATCACCATTTCCCCCCCAATTTGCAATGTTTGATTTCTTCATAAAATCAATTTAGCATGGAAAAAAAGATTCAATCTTTTTTCAGATATTACATTCCATAGGTAGACCTCGACTTACAACCACAATTGAGATCAGAATTTCTGGTGCTAAGCAAGGTAGTTGTTAAGTGACTTTGTTAATTTTACAAACTTTTTTTGCCATGGTTGTTAAGCGAATGACTGAAGTTGTTGAGTGAACCATGTGGTTGTTAAACAAATCTGGCTTCCCCCATTGACTTTGTATGTTGGAAGTCAGCTGGGAAGGTCTCAAGTGGTGATCACATGACCTCTGGATGCTGCAACCATCATAAATATATGCTGGTTGCCAACTGCCCAAATTCTGATCACAACCGTGGGGACGCTGTGAATGTTGTAAGTACGAGAAACAATTATAAGTAGCTTTTTTCAGTCACTAAACAAATGGCCAGCACTAATTGTATTTTATTTACATGTTACCCCCCCCTCTCTCTCTCTCTCTTTCTCTCTCTCTCTCTCTCCACCCACCCACCCACCTACCTACCTACCTACCTACCTACCTACCTATCATCTTCAATTGAATACTTATTACACGGAATTTGACAGTTAGACAATATAATGGATTCTCCATGCCTTTATTTTAGCTATAAGTGTGATATTGCAATATTCAAAAGGTAAATGTATGGCCCCATTTACTCAATGGAGTGAAGACCTGATTACATTGCTACCTGTGAGTGGACTGCCTATATACATAGACTTTGTATGGCTAAATATTTATGAAATAGGAGACTTGTTTATACAAAGTACAGTAGGTTAAAAAACACAATAATTATATAAGTATATTAGAAATACAACACAGACACACGTTTTGTTTTAACAACAAATACCCTATGATTTGTTTTGTATTTTTCCCTTATTTTTAAGCCCTTGTTATGTATTTTTATAACATATGCATTTGTGTGTTTTGTTCCTCTTTTTTCTTTTTCTGTTATTATTTTAAAAGCAATAAAATATTATTGGGATAAAAAACTTGTTGACGTGGTTCTCTCCAATGGCTGCACCTGGGGTTGAAACAGCCACAGGGTCTGCCTGTTTTATCTCATTGCACCACACAAACTTTGAAACTCAAGAGAACAGGATTTAAGATTTGCAGATATAACACGTTGGCTGTACAAGACCATGATTTCTATATCAGATGTATTATTTATATGTCTTGTCACATCTTCCATGAATATTTCTACCTCACAAAGAGGCACATTGGAAATTATAATTATAGATTAGCACTGGGATGAACAGGTCTGCCAGTTCTGCCTTCTTTCACGAGTAATTTTCTTTTCTTTTTCTTTTTTTTACATTCAGTTTCAAGATCTTTCTATAGGATAAATTCAGGCTTCTCAAAGGAAATTCTGCTTGGTATTATCTATATTGACTGGCTTAAATATTCAAGCTTCCAAACCTAAGGCCATGGAAGGTCTTTTTTGTTCTCTCTAAAGATACCCAAGATTAAACTATGGGCCTCCTGAATATAAAGAACTGGAGGTAAGCCCATTACCTTCAAGAAAAATGGATGAATAAAACATTCTGGAGTTTCAGACCAATAGGTAAAATATGAACACACACACACACACACATCTCACAGGTACAGGGAGGTGTTTGTGAAAGGTACACATGTTTAAATGCACATGAATGATTATATCATAGCATAATACAATAGTTCACATTCCAGTTCTCTAAATTTAGAGAGGCTATGATTTATTTGTTTTTACCCAAAACAAAACAAAAAAACCCTGCTCTTGTTGGGAAAAATTTCCAAATCATTTTCATACAATTAAAGGGGTGAGAAATTGCAAGCGAGCAAAGGCATTCCACCATTAAGCCAACACACAATAATGCTTGCAAAATGCATTCAATCTATGTTTAAATGGAAAATGAAATACAGCTAAATTATATGCAAAAATATGCCGAACTATGAGACTGCAAAATTTCCCAAACTCAATTCTGCACACACATTTTAAAAATTCATCTTCAGACAGCAACAAAGATTATGGAATTGCTTTACAAGATTTGGCCACAATAGCAACATGTATTATTACTTCATGGATTTAAGGAACAGAAAGTAACACCAAGAGGTTTTCAGAAATGTATCACTCTGATATATCCCTAATATTAATTCATTGTTTAAAATGGATATACATTTGTTTAAAACCCTGTTACTGACTAAAATGATTATATATTATCAGCTTAGATTGTGTACTTGTCTATTATATATCTGCATTATGAAGCAAGCTATAATGTTAAGAATGTTTTATGCATGAATATCTGAATTATGTTATTAAATGTTGTAATTGTGCGTGCTGTCTAGCTTGAGTGCTACAGAGAAGGGAATTCTATGCACAGATTCCTCCTCTTTTTAATCCATACTTCTGCTGCTGTCAGCACAGATTCTCTCAGCAGCTATTTTAGAGGTAGCTGTGTAAAAATATTTCCATTTGCTGATCCCTCCACTAATTCTTTTACACATCCATCTTTGGCACAATGCTTCTCCCAGCACAAAAGCAGGTGAAAAGGGAGAATGTCAGCACTAAGACACATTCAGCAGCTTCACAGCCAGAGTATGAAACAGATGGATTGCTTTCCACCTATTTCTCATGACAGCCCTGGTGCAAAGGGGGGCAGGAAGATGTGCTGTGAGTCAATGAGATACAGTGCAGAGGTGGATGAAGGGAACATCTGCCACAAAGCACTTAGCATGTATTTCCTCGTAAGAAATGAAATTGGCAGATGCATAAAGACAGCAGGCAAGGAAGGAGTACACTCTAGAGAAAGAATTAATTTCTTGGTTCAGTCCCCATGTTAATGCTTAGTAGGAGAACGTCAGAGCCAAAACTTGAGGAAACCCATGACATATTCTGATCCACAATCCTTTAATGACACTCTGCATAAGCACAGACACTTTCTTGTTCCCATAAGAAGCAATCTCAGCTAATACAACATGTAGAATTTCTAAAGCTTAGAATTAAAAGAGGCCTATCCTATCCTACAACCTTCCTTTCGTAGTTCAATGCAATGATCCATGAAGCTTCCTTTCCTTTCCTTGTCCATACACTGCCTTACACGCTATTTTTCATGTTTTGTAGGTTCTCAGTTTTCTTTTCTTGAGGATCTCATAAGCTCCATCCAATTAAGACTTTCTCAGTCTCCCCATTCCTTTTGACTTATTCACACTTCCTTTAAATATTAGCCATGCAATCTGATCTTCATTCTTCTCCCTATATAACCAAACTACCTCAGCAAACCTTCACTTCTATATTCAACCAAAATTCATTTATGGTTCATTCATTCTTGACTCTAACGTAAGTACCTTCTTGTAGCTGGTCGAAATGTCTGCTGTGTGGCTCACTGGTAGTTTCACTTCATCAGTCTTAGCTACCTTCCATTTCTTAATTAACATCCATCCACACTTCTCCAATCCCAATGTCTCACTGTAGATCAGGTATATCAATGAGTTGATGTCTTGATTATTCTTAGCTATACAGTTCGATGTCTTCCATGTAGAGGAGGTGGCTCATGATAGTTATACTCTTAAACTTTTATCCATGTCCAGTTCTTGTGATTATTTGGCTGAGAGGGGTCAAGCCTATGCAAAACAGCAATTGGGGCATGTCTAGGGAGATTTTCAGTCATCCAGGTCATAGTTATCCCAAAGAGGCTTTTTCACGAGGCAACTGGACTTTCTTGTTTTTCTTTGAAGACATTTTGCTTCTCATCCAAGAAGCTTCTTCAGCTCTGAAGCTTCTTCAGGACTCTTTTAATTCTAAGTGCATTATCTTGGTATATGTTGCATTTGATGGTCACTTGTGTGAACTGTTTTGAGCTGACTTCCAGTGTTGTCTTCCATATCCCATTATATTCTTGAGGAAGGTCCTCTGTGTTCTGTTGACTTTGTATAGAGCCAAGCATGATAGATCTACGTGTGTGGCACTGAGTCATAGGCTGTGCTGTATTCAAGCCAGGCTGTGGTCAGAGTGGTCTTGAGTCTTGGCCAACTGCTGTATTTATGAACAACTGGTGTTTTGAATCTCTTCTGTTGTTCCTAATGTGTGAGCTTGATGGCTATGATGACCGAGAGGACCTTTCATGTTGTAGGTAGATAGGTTATTGGTTGATAATTGGACAGTGCTGTTCCCTTCTTTCTTTCATGGTCTTTTATGATCAGCACTGCCCTTTCTTATGTCAGTCTGGGTGTGAGTCTGCTGTTAGCAGCTGGTTCATCTGTACTGCTATACATTCATGCGTGGCTATTAGTTTCTTTAGCCACTAGGTATGAATTATGTCTGGGCCAAGTGCTGTCCAGCTCTTCATATTCTTGACCCACTGTTGGATGTCTGCTTCTGGGATGGTGTTTGGTTCTTATTTTGGGAGATTGTTGTGGTGTGCTCTCAGATCCTGCAACCAATGGTATTTATGTGTCTTCTCTGTCTCCCATATATTTTTCCAATACTGTTCAAGTCCATATTCGTACAAAACTAAAAAATAGGCAAATTCACTTTACTATACACTTTCTTCAAATCAATAAATATTTATTATATTTTTCTCACATTCATATTTTTCTCAATAATTGTTGAAGAGCAACAAGCTGATCTGCATACCACTTGCTCAGCATCAAGCTGGAAAGCATTTCCCATACATATTTTCTTCCCCAATATTATTAATTAAATCAAAATTCTGCCAAACATATTCCCAGGCACATGTAGCAAACTAACTCACCTGTAGTTTTTGCATTTACTCTTGCTATTTAAAAGGAAACAATAATTGCATTCTCACAATGGTCAGGCAGTTGCAGGCTTCACACAATATTAATATTAAACAAGCTAGATAATCAATCTGTGTCAAAATTACATCCATATTTTAATGTTTTTCTGTTATATCTGCCGGTTTACCAATTCTTCAATCATTTTTATACCATTTCCTTTATATCATTTTTTTTTCTCATGGGCACTAGCATTTATAGCATTTGTTTTAATTCCACTGCTAAACATAACACAATCGTACCCATCCAAAACTCTACACTATTACTTCCAGAAATTCCTTTCTTCAGTTTTATCCCAAATCACTTTTATTTTTTTTAATCCATTCAATTTACATAATCCTCGTACTGCAAACAGGATATTTTTTTATGGATGGTAAACATTTGAATTCATAGGTTAGCACCTAAAACACTATGCTATCCTAGCACGCAATAAAATCACATGAATTTCTATAAAGGGCAAAAAGAACATACTAGTAAAAAGCTTCTCCACCAGGAATTTTACTCTAGCATTAAAGAATCCATTATCCAAATCTGAATGATAAGGATTTGTAGACTATGCAATGGTAATCTATATACAGTATACCTCGCCTCTTTGATGGCAAACTGTCCTCAATCTGAATTGCACTTCATTTTGCATTCTGTAGTCTTCCTATCATTTTAAGGCCATGTAGTAGAACAAATAAATAAACTTTGATCTAAAGAGAAGCATCATACAAAGGACACTATCTCTGGAACTCCAGAATTTTTTTCTAATGGTTAAACAAAACTGTAACATATTATGCTAATAAAGAAACTCTCAAGTCACTTTACATTCATTTAAGAATCTCTTTGTAGATTAAAAACACATCTACTGAAAATGTAAAGTGCAAGCACACAAACAGATGTTTGCAATATTCTTATCATGCAAATGCACACATTAGGATGCCAAGTATAAATGCTTCTTCCTGCCAGGTGCATAGAGAGCAACAAACTTAGTATGTTAATTATATAGCATGCAACTTCCTTTCTAGGTTTTCTTTCCTCTAAAACTAAATTTCTTGAAGTGGAGGTGGTTGAGTGGGAACGGAACAATTTAGCAAAGTCACTGGAGAGAGAAGTATATTTCCTTTGTCCTATCTAGATCATGCTCTAGATCAAGGACTAGAAACTTCCTTTGGAGCAGGGGAGAACAAGTGTATTCCTCCTCCAGGAATAATTTGTTAGAGATTGCAGAGAAATAATGGGGGGGGGGGAGATTTGAATCAAGGAGTGATTCAAGGGCAAAGTTGTTTATCTTTCTGTCATTACCATTCCCTCTTTTTCCTTTTTCTTTCCAACGCACTCAGTTTCCTCAATTTCATTTTTGATCTCTTTCTGACAAAGAGCTTTTGAAATTATGTTGATGGCCACATATATTTGGCCATAGGCTGGTACATATGCCCTTCATCCTGTAGGTTGTTCACCTCTGCTTAAAATGAATTGCACAAAGGAGGCAATATGCATGGTACAAACTTAATGTAAGTGTAACTAGATTCTCAGCATAGCAAGCTTAGGTTTGCCCTGCATAATATGTAAGATAGCCTTAAATACATTTTTACAAATTTAATAGAATGTAGAACAGTTACAGAACTTAATGTTCAAGACAAAGCGGGAGCATGGTATGTTTTTCATGGTTTTAGTTTTATGCTGTGAGCAGAAAACTGGGGTCAGTCTTTGAAAAATAAAGCACCGTGTTATGCATGTGTTTCTTTGTGGAAGGTATCACAATGCACAATTTGTGCTGATCTGCTGTCTTAAACAAGGCAAAGTGAGGATATCAGAATTAGTTTAAATCCTGAGATTCTCGATTTGCCTGGGTAAGCTCTGTATGTTGCATGAGGATACCATATAGCCTGCAGAATTATAATGCTCTATATCAACAAGCTCAAATCCAGAGAACTCCATGTGTCAAGGAACCTTATTGTCTTATTCTCATTTCTCCAAGAGATCCTTTCATAATTCCGTATCAAACGCATACGAACCATACATCCAGTGGAGTCCAATTTTCGATCTGCGATGCAGCGGAAATTCTTGCTGCAACCCCCATTATCCTTGGAGCAGTCCCGAACTGGGCCAAAAGAATCTAGGAGAACCTCCAGGTTATCAAAGGAGGAAGAAGTCATCAGTTCCTCCCTGCAACGTAATAAAACATATTTGCAATTATAGTAACAATTATACCTTAATAAGATAGAAAACAGTAATTCAGCACACCAGTGGTTCAAATATCACTGATGAGTGATATACAGTAAGCAGAAAAGAGCCTGAAGTTGATGAACTGTAATTCTTCCCATCTTTTACTACTCTTTTGAACAAGTGTGATGGGAATCAACCCCACAACAGGAGAGAGGCATAAAGTTCTTCATTATTTGACTGAAAAGCTTGCAATCTAAATTGTTACTGTAAAATAGAATGTGATAAAAGGCACAGAACAGCCAAAAATAAGTGACAGAGATAACATGACGTTAACAAGTTATTAATGATCACAATAATGCTTTATACAAAGAAATCTGAATATATACCAGATGTTTGAACTAATGATTTCAGAGTACAGGTCCTGAGAATTATGGTAAAATGTGTATTGTATAAGTTTAGAATGGAGCTTTATTGTGTTAAAGCTCTACAATTATCACAATACTCTGTCCAAGTACTTTTTTTCTCTTTCTTCTTTTAGGCAATCATAAAATATCAGTCAATTCTTTTTGCAACTGATGCATATAGCACTGCAGAAAGTTTTCAGAGCCTGATGTAGTATTTGCAGGACTATCACCGAGATGGATGAGAAATTTGATTGATTCCCATTTGGATACAAGCTTGCCAATTCTGCTATTTTTGAAATAAATACATAGATGAAAATGGACTCTTGTGGAGAAATGCTTCTTTCTCTGAACTTTGCAATTTAATGTCTTCCCGTCAAAATATAAACACAAAAGGTATATAAAGGATTGTTTAGGGAATATATATATTTAAAATTTGGATTGCTAACAAAGAATTAAGGGAGAATGGGATAGCTATTTCGAACTTTCTTTAGCTCTCATCAGCCAAACATACCCTTCTGAGATTCGAACCTGGGCTGCCTGCATGTTAAGCAGCTGTGTTAACCTCTAGGCCACAGGCTCTTTCTCACTTTGTCAGCTGTGTCAGGGAGGGAAGAGACAGGGGAGGAGAATTACCTTGAGTGCTTTTTGATGCACCCTGTCGACCCAAATATGGGAGAAAGAAATCTTATTCATATTCCCTAAGCAATCCTTTATATACGTTTTGTATATATAAAGGACTGTTAAGGAGTGTTTGTTTTAAAATAAAACAATCAAAATGCAAAAATAAATGGACAAGATCAACTTAATGATATAAAAATCAATACTAATGCTGAAGTGAGCCTTATAGATTTATTCATTCCTGTCCATATTATTAATGTGATTAGAGAGAGTATAAACTAAGTCATTCTGAATGAATCTGGCTTGCTTTAGGAAGTGAGGTAGGAAATTATAAGAAAGTATTTCTCAATGCATGGACCTTAAACACAGGAGTACTGTAAGTTCAGGCCAGTGTATACATTAAGATGATAAGTCAATAATGTATTTCAATTGATAGTAGGTTCTATTTTAATTGAACTACTTTTCTAATTTTGCTTTTAGATTACTTCAAGTTTGTCCCATGATATAGGGTACATCATAGTTTTAGGAGGATTTTTCTAAAAATGATAAACTGTCAGATTGTTTTAACAGAAAAGTGTCATCTTTATATCAATTTTACATACTTTTCTCAGAGGATATTTCTTATTAGGCAGGTTAAAATGTTAATACATTTGAAGATATGAAATAAATGCTTTAAAATAAATCAGTGAATTATCCCCTTTTGCTTATTTCCCAGGAGTGAAATTAACTTGACATAATTCAAAAGTTCCCTAAATAATTTCTCTGCTCAATTATCTCATGTAGAACAAAGGAGGAGCACTGACACTTTTCAGATGTCCTCTCCTACCTATTGCATTTATTCAAATGCCATACTCTAAATGTAGGCATATGATTATTAGTAGAGAAATAAAGTAGAGCTGGACCAGCAAAATGACCATCTGTACATAATTTTATATAATTTATAGCATCTGGAACTGCACCATTTCTGATGGGTGATCCTTCAGCAGAGACTCATTACTAATAGGAGTTTTCTTTCTCTGCCATGCATAATTTCCAGCCATTCCAAAGATTCATCTGTGAAAGGAACATACCTGACCTCTACAGCATCCTCCATCACTGTCATATCAGTTTTGCACTTGGCTGATGGATTGATAGCTAATTCAGCAGGTGGGATCACAAAGCTTTTGCTCAGTGGCAGCCACATCCCTTCCCCGAGAGTGTAGGTGAATCTGCATTCATAGGAGAGAGTTAATCAATTTGAAAACATGGAAAAACACAAGAAATTAGTATTTTTCTACTAGTTTATTTCTGTGCTTGCAGAGAGAGGTTATTTAAATTATCTTGACCTAGTCTGCAATTCGGTTACTTCTTTCTCTCCAATCTTATTTAATGTACACACACACACACACACACACAGAGAGAGAGAGAGAGAGAGAGAGAGAGAGAGAGAGAGAGACAGAAAGAGACAGACAGAGAGAGAGACAGAGACAGAGACAGAGACAGAGAGAGACAGACAGACAGAGATACACAGACACACCACAACTTATGTATGGTGACTCCTTCTACTTCATGATCATAATGCTATTTGATTTAATATTAAATGCAATTAACATTATCTAGACAGTTTTTCAGTTCTACAATTTCAAGGTAGCAAAAAATGTGTCATTGAGGATCTATGTATCTTTCACTCCTGATTAAGTGTTGAGTTATTTCATTTATCTTTTTTTTCAATAAGGTGACAATTCTGTCTAGAAGAATTTGTAGGAGACGTGCATAGGGGAGGGAAGAAAGAATAGAAGTTTTTTTTAAGGAAAGAGCAATTCTTTTAACAAGCAAGAAACAGACATTGCCACAGGTAGTGACTGCAGGAAGGGATGCTTGTTTTCTCTTTTTCTTGTAGTTTTGCTATCTTTCCTGCAACAGAAACCTTCTCCCTTATTAGTAGGCAACTAGCCACAATTACTTTCCCACAAAGCATGTAACATCATGGCAGGGGAGAGTGGCACAAATCATGTCATCAGGAGAAATTTCACTGTGATTGGAAGCTAATATGAAGAAGGCTCAAAAAGAGAAATTGCTCACCAAAACCATTTTGTTCATACATTCTTATAAAGCTTTTATGATTGCTATTTTACCCCAAATTGGGGTTTTTTAAATATAAAATTTGAACTGAAAGTGCAAAAAGTTGAATTTTGCATTCAGTCCTTCAGACAATCACTGACATTTTCATAAGCCAATAGCAAGCTGTATGAGATACGGTCATTTGAGAAGATCTAACTTAGAATTCATATTCATACTGTTTCAAGTTTAATTTAAGCAAAATCATATTAGATGCTGGGGTACATCTCTAACTGAAATCTCTGGACTTCCCCTTAATATCTGTTTCTTCTTACTGACAGCACATGACCAAATCTGATGCTGAATTCTACCTGAATATCTTGTCAGAAGGTTGTTCTCCCAGCACCAAATCAAATCCCCGCTGGAATATGGTATATGGCCATGGCCTGGAAAAAGGGAATAACACATGAAGCACAGAAACAATTATAAGTGGATCAGCTTTTCCCAATTATTTGTTGTATGGTTATTTGAGAACCTGATAATTGACTCAAGCAGTAAACTGACTATAGGCATCTATATCAGAACAACTAAAAACAAAAATGTAATATTCAATTATTCCGTACATTAGAACTTCACAAATACATATTTGGTTTAATCATTTTACAGTCCCCCACAAAAAGGAACAGAGCTGAATTCTTATAACAGCCTCCCAGTCTGACAGTATATAATAGCAGTGACATTTTAGGCAAGGAGTATGATAGTCTCCCCCAGATGGAAAGGGAGGATTCACTGTAGTAGCCAGCACTGATATATTTCAACACTCCCCGGGATCAAGGCTGAGCAGGTGTTAGTAAAAATCTAATGCTAAGCCAAGAACTTTTTATTACTTCTTTTATTTGAATGAGTCAGATGTCCATCAGCATCAAGAAACATCCAACTAGATTTGCAGAAACTGAATTTGTGTATGCTATATACTGTATACAATGTACGTATACACATACTGTATGCACACAAATACATATAAACTTATTTCTATATTTTGAACATGTTGTGAAATTCATTTTCATTTATTTATGCAATATCTTTACAATTTGAAATATGTACTATATAGCACTGCATATTAAAAAGAAAGCACCCCTATTTTTTCCTATATTAGCTTACAACTGAATCAAGAACATTCTTTAAAGCCAGTGTTAAACACAAATGTGTTAATATGCAAATTAGTCTCTTTTATTAGAACTGTAATAAAAATGCATCTAATTCTGAAGGATCAGAGAAATAAATCAGCAACTGCATGAAAACATTTTTTCAATTTTTACTATTTATTTATTAATCAAATTTATTTAGCCATCCATCACTGAATATGATTCTGGCCAATGCCCGTTATTAAACTATGGTTTTAATAACAAAACTAATTTAATTTACATTAAGACAAAAGCTTCAAAGAGAAAAGATTTTAATTCCAAAATAACTGAAAAATATTTAGGCTGCAAATCTTAGCTTGGTTTACTTGAACAAAAATTATAGCGTTTACTTTGCAATACAAATTATTTGTTTATGCTTATAAAATCTAGCCCAAGTCTGACTCAAATCTGGAGAACACTTACGTATTAGTAGTCTATATAAACTAAGACCTTAGTTAATACCTAGAAAACAAATTGATTATATTATTGCTAAAAGGAGAAGGAGATTAATTATTGTATCAAAGACATGGCCAGGTGGTTTCTGTGGAATTGTGTTTCATAAATGAATGAATGAGTAAATAAAATATGCTTCAGAATTTTCTCATTGATAACTCACAGCAATGAACAACCTGACCCCACTGAAATTCAGAATCAACCAGAGTAAGTCCACTTGCAAAACCTGTCAAATAGGATACAATCCGAAGAATCTTAGAGGAAAAACTATCATTGCTGATTTTGGTATTTTTCGTACTGACACATGCACTGGATGGAACTCACAGGATAGAAAATGGAAGAAACAAACAATTTTTTTCTACAGTGATTCTAACACTTTAAAATGTGACCTGTGGATAGAAACTCTAACTATTATCTCTGCTACCATTTCCCGAAAGAGATATTGGCTTTTTTCCCCTGTGCACAATGAAAACTTAGGGACTATTATACTTGCTCTTTTAGAGGCCTAATAGAAGGATGATCATTCTTCACTTGTTCCATCTTTTCAGTCAATATCTTTTTGCCACCTGTCATTTATGTCACTTTGTTTATTTCCAATATTCTTCTCCCTTTAGTGCTTCTCTCTTCTTTTCCTTTATGTTCCCTGCAGGTTGCTTGGTAAGAGGATTCTTTACCTCTTGGTGAGTATTTTAGCTGACTACACTTTATAGTTCACAAAGAAAAGAAAAGCCGATCAAATGCAGTTCAGTGCCTGATGAGCCTGGTTTCATATGTTACTCAAGCTATACATTCAATCCGTATATAAAATTGGTGACTAAAGGGGTCATGCTGAACAAAGGAAACCAGACCAGTTATTCCATTAATTACAAAGCAAAATGTGAAACTTGGAATTTTAGCATCCTAACATTATTTCTATTTAATTATACATCTTAATAGTTGAAGAAACCATCTGCAAATGGGTTAAAAAGTATTTTTATTTTGGAAAAAATCCCTGTTTTATTCCTTCCATATGCACTTTTCATAGCGCACTATCTATAGCTTCCATGCCATTAAGCCTTTCTCTTTTTTCAGTTGATCCTCTTGCATTCCATATTTCAACACTTAGTAAAAAAATTATTTGACATTTTAAAGAACAATTCAACTTTCAAAGTGAAAGTTATGGCATGGTAGTAAGTCTTAAAATGTAGTCCCATGAAATGTCAATGAAGTAATCATGATCAAAAGAAAAAGCACGACTGTAATAAAAATGTATATGAGAATGGATTCAATATCTCCTTAATTGGATGACAACCAAAGAAAAAACAGTGGAACAGAATGGTTTGAAAACAAGACTGAGCAGAATTACACAGAGCAATTCATATGGATGTATTTTAATTCATAGGATTTATTGTAAGTTCAGAACCTGGCTACCTTGGACAAAAAACATATGAGATTCTGAATGGAGAACTGGAAGTGCTTATTCATTTATCCATAACTGCATGGGAAGAGTTTTACTACAAGTTGATTTCACAGCTTGTGTATATGGGTTCCTGTTTGTGGCCTGCACTGCTATGGTTTTTTGATTTGTTCTTTTTAAGGCCTTGTGCAATATCCAGAATCACTTTTGGGAGATCACTGGCCATATCAATTGTTTAAACAAAAATTAGATAAGTATTTAAAATATGCCCATTGTTCCCAAAAGCTTGGGGACTCTATATTAAATTAGGGATGGACAACTCTATGAATAACAACATAGCTGGGCAAACTTTCTTTTGCAGAGCAGCCTATCTTCTCCACACCTTATAGAAAATGTTCTGTTACTTGTATGTACTACCATAGCTCTGGGAGGATGGAACATGAAGGGATGTGTCAGTAAACAGTGCAAACAGTTTGAAATGGGTGTAGGCAATTCTTAGCATATTCTGGTTTTAAACAATTCATACCCTAAGGATGCACAATAATTTGAATTGAGCCCAGAAGCAAAATGATAACATGCATACATGCATACATACATACATAAGTATGAAAAGAATGTATATATATATGTTGAACAGTCATCAAATGTAGATCTACATAGCATAGTGGACTAATTTAAAAATTAATAGCCGGTGACTTCCGGTGGTGTTAGGCTGCACCAATGGCGGCTTTTGTTAGCTGCCCGCCTGGGAGCGCGTCAAAGCCTGAAGAGACAGCGTGCAACAGCTGTCTCTCGGCTAGGAACCCCGTCCCTCGGGCGAAGAGGGGGGGGGTGAGCAGTCCGGATAGGCTTAGAGCTCCCTCTCACCCTGGTTTTTCTCTGATCGGGGTTGGGGGGTGAGAGCTCAGCCGGAGTCTGGACGTTCTCCGCGCCCCAGGACGCTTTCGCTCCCTTCTTTTGGAGTGAAGCCAGATGCAGCGCCCACCTCTGCTACTGAAAGCTACTTGGATTTGGATTTAAATTACAAGCAGACGGAACTAAGCAGGAGGTTTGGAGTAGTTTCGGCTTATGTGGAATTTTGATTTTGAACTAACATCTTCCTTTTTGGTGGGGACTTAAAGTGGGAAGAAAATGGCTGCTTGCCGTTTCTTTGGAGCTGATAAAAAATTTTCGCTTTTTATTTTTACTCTCTTCTGGTTACTAACTGGATAGAGATATATTGTGGGTTTTTTTGGTTTTTGGAAATTTTTAGTTGCAAAGAATTTGCAATGTTTATTTGTTGGTGATACTTATTATTTTTATGGATTATTGAAGTGTTTTTCAAAGAAGTTTGAAGAATGGCTTTAAAATGGCTGCAGAATTGTGAAAGAAAGAAAGAAAGAAAAATCCATGCTTCTTTTTTGCTGGCTAAATGAAAATGATAAGCAAGAAAAGCTGGGGAAGGAAGCTGTAATAGATCCAGTTGTCCTGGTGTACCTCCCTGATGAAATTTTGGAAAAATAGCTTATAGAAATGGGTCGTGTGTCAGAGAAAACCAGCTGGAGATGTTGCTGCTTGTGTTTTTAGAAGATCTTGCTAGAATGGAATCATATCTGCAGAAATTTCGAACACGCTAAAAATTGTTCATGAAAAAGGTGGAAGATTCATTGGCTTTGAAGGTATCATGAAAAGGATAAGCATGAAAAGCTGGAAAAGGAAGCTGTAATAGATCCGGTTGTCCTGGTGTACCTCCCTGATGAAATTTTGGAAAACAAGCTTATAGAAATGGGTCGTGCGTCAGAGAAAACCAGCTGGAGATGTTGCTGCTTGTGTTCTCAGAAGATCTTGTTATAATGGAATCACATGGGTTTATTATCAGCAGAAATTTCGAACATGCTATAAATTGTTAATGAAAAAGGTGGAAGATTCACTGGCTTTGAAGGTTGATCAGCAATGGGAAAAAAAAAAGAATGGAAGCAAGGACTGGCTATGGAAGAATTTCTTTCTTTTTTTTTTATTAGTTTTATTTTACATGGTGGCAAGGCCATCAATTAATCAAGACAAAATCATATTTGTACAATTCAGATTATTTCAATATAATTAACTCAATTATACATATAACTAATCTATTATTATTTTAACATATCCTACTTCCCCTTAGGTCAATACTAGTAACTCTATTTCTATACTCCTCCCACCCCCATCCCCACCTAACCCCCCCCGGACTTCCCAGAACTGATTACAGGATTAAACATTCATCTTCCCAAGTCTATATAAAACTACCCATTATAAACTAATCTAATATAAACATACTTTAACTCATAAAAAAAAA